TTTCTTCTCTTAACACCTTGTCAGCAAAATTCCCCTTCTTGGGCAAGACTTTTTTCTTTTGCAAAATTATTGTGCTAGTTTGCCAGTGAAGCTTTTCTAAGAACAACTAACTAAGCAACATAGCTGCTTTCTCACCCTGCCTCTCCCAACACTTGAACACTCCCTCCTGTAGGCCAAGTAGAAAATTCTTTCCCTTGGGGCCTGCAATGAAACTTATACAAGTTATCAGGAGAAAATGCTGCACTGATGCGGAACCCAGTTCCCTCTTTCCTCTCTCTTTTAAGTTCCTGACCCTGACTTTCAACTGCTGTTCTAGTTGGAGTCTGAGAAATGGATTTGATTTATTTCTACTGATGTGCTTGAAACACAAACCTACTAAAAATATGAAGATTGATCAACTGAGAGTTAGGTTGAAAAAAATTCCAGTGTGACCGAAGGTCTAACTTCCCAATGGTGAACTGGACAAACACAATTCAATTGATTTTGCAGTCTGCATTCAACTTAGCCTTTAAAAGAAAAAAGCCTGGATAGATATGTGAATATTAATCAAAACACACTATCACTGAGAATGTTTATAGAACCTTTCTGTAAACTGGGCTATCAGTAAAAAGTACAGAAGAGGACAGTCTATATCCTATTTTTAACTCTTTATTCACCAGCTGAGAATAGCTGGAAGAATAACAGAGGTATCACACACTGACCTTAATTAAGACGATGATTCACCCTTTTCTCTCTGAACACAAACATAATAGCTTAGAGCTGGAAGGCTCACATGCAAAGAGACTTTGGGTGAAGAGGTAACATCTACCATGCAGGGCCTCTTTTGAGGGAGAATATAGGGGTCCTGACAGACACATTATCCCAGAGAACACATGCAGTCTCATTCATCTGTTTTTTTCAGAAAACCTAGAGAAATACAAGTATGAAAGGTATCGGGTTTTGGAAAATCTGGAAATCCCAAGTTAACACATCACTTTATTCTGACATTTATAAAATCAGGACCTTCATCAGTCAATATATTTATTTTACAAAAAACCAAACCTTGTAATGTCAAGAAAACAGAAACAATTTTTTTATTCTTCATCACCTAATCTTCTTGTTCCTGCTGAAATGCCCTTCAGAATAGCTCCAGAAAGAATACTTGTCTTGTAAGAATTAACATGATGTATTTCAGTATTACTTTTGCTTTGATTGTATCTTCACAAAGTTATTTTCAACAGCAACCTTTTGCTTGACTAAGGAGACCCAATATTGACAGTATATTGAAGAAGGGAAAATATCTTTCCAGTTTTATCTTTAAGTTGTTCCAGAGGTCTCCAACTGATCCAAATTAAAGTCACTTCTTTAAAAAACAGGATATATCTTAAAAGGTATTATTAATGATATTTCTACTGTTACTCCACAAATATATCAAATGTAATCATCACACAACCTATTTTGAATGCCTATAAACTGCTGACAACTAAAATATTCATATCACTTCACAGTCACGATAGCAAATACCTTCAGATGAACTACATCTCTATCTACCACATTCATATGCACCTTAGGTTGGTAAAAAACATTTCCTTACTGCACTGCAAAGCTCCAGGATTTGGACTTTAAAAGGTGGTGAAAACTAAGAGTAGAGAGTCAGCTTCAATCATAGCAGATTGTGTCTTACACAATCTGTGTCTTACAAAGGTGCTTCTGGAGAAAGCATATAGACATGAAAGTAAGCAAAAACCCCTTGAAATAAAACATTTCAGATCAAGGCTTCAGCAAAATTTCCTTGTTTTAGATCATCCTAGTGACAATACTTTCCTGTAGAAGGAAGCAAAGTGGCCTCTACTTGGGTAAGCTCAAGGCTCAGAAATCAAAGCAGCCCAGAAGTGAAGTGGGAAAAGCCACAGATCTGGTTTGATTTGAAGGGGTTTGAGTGCTCCTAGAGAAGTAGGCTAGAAAGTAGTATTTCTAAAATGTCAAGAACACAGATCCAAGGCTCAGACATCCTCCAGACTTGAGGTTTGCTAGCATTCAAAGAATATTTGGATTCAATCTCAATTCAGTGAACACCGAAATGTGCCATGCCCATTTCTGTTTTTTAGAGGAAGATTTCAGGCAGGCTTCTTTGACACAGGCCATAGTGTGGGAAGCAGAAAGGTAGAATTTCTCGCCGTGCCATTGCAAATATGTTTTTTTGCTGCCCACGAAAAAAAATCTCTCTTTAGAGAGGTAGGCAGAATAGTGGCCAAGGCCACAGGGCACCACACAGACTGACTGGTAGTCAAAACTGCAAGGTCAGGCTTTGTTAGAGGGAACATCAGGGGTAGGACCTGGCACCTACCAGAGAGATGGTTCTTCTCTTCCCTCCTCTTCCTTGTCCATTTCACAAATGTTGGAGGATCCTTCTGCCAGACTATGACTTCGAGCCTTTGAGAAAAGGAGCCTGACTCTAATTGTTCATTCAAAACCTCCTGTCCTGCCCCCTGCCAATGGTTGTGTGCTGATATGGGAACTATAAACATGGAGAAATGGTTCTAAAATTAACATCCAGTCCCTAAGCTTTTCATAGGATCAATCGAAATCTCATATGATTTTTTCCACAAATTCTTGCTTTTCCTATCCAATCCCACAGTGAAACTGCAGAATGAAGTTTAGGATCAGACAGCAGAATTTGTATCTGAAGGATGTTATGTTTCTAGATCATGAACAACTCGGAATGAGAACCCTGATCTATAAATTAGCAGAGCCAGAGGACAGCCACGGTCAGATAGGTTAATAGGTTTGATTTCTGAAAGGATGCCAGCAACAAGGCTGCTTTGAATGAATATCCTGTATGAACCAGAGTGCAACTGATGGGAAAAGCATCCAATCTCTACTGCAGATGATGGAATAAACCATAGCCCTGACTTTTGCTCCAAGAATGGTTTCCGCTGTTAAATGTTGAAGACTTATATGCAGTATGAACTTGTCCAACTTCTAACTACCAGTTCTTACTGTACTATTGCCCAGAGAAGCTTCTGTTTCTGAATTTCTATTCCTTATATAGCATACTTGAAAACCAAACTTTTCTTGACTTGTTGTTTGGTAAACTAAGGAGATGGACTGCACTGTAAGGCATGTTTGCCAATCCTTCAGTCATTCTTGTGGCTCCTCTCTGAAAGACAGCCAGGTTTTCAACATCCTTCTTTAATTGTGGGTACCACAGCTGGATGGAGTGTTCCCAAAGCAGTTGCACCAATGCCAAACACAGCAGTAAAGTGATCCTTGGGTATATAGACAGGGAATATCAAGTAGGCGTTAGAAAGGATCCAAGGATTGTTTTAGACCCTTTGGCCACAGCACTAGAGTGAGAGATGACACTCAGCCAATTATGCATTCAAACCTTCAATCCTTTTCCAGATTCCTGTTTCTCAGCTCAGTCTATTCCATCTGGTACACAGATCTCAGATTTTTAATTTCCTTTACCTGTAACATCCTGAAGAGAAAAATTATTTGCTATTTCCATTCTATCAAGAGATCCAATGAATGAACTAGAACAGATCCAATATGCTGAACTAGTCTTTCTGTCATCTGCTGACATCAGCAGTGTGGAGTTCACCCCTTCTCACAGTCACTGCCACACCATTAAGCAATTCAATGTAACAAATGGATGCCACTAGTAACTTAGCTATTTGATGTGTTTACACTTTAAATCTATTTACAAATGCTACTTTGAAACCTGTAACTGAAGCAGTTGGAATCCATCTGCTATTTCTTATTTGGTACTGTATCATTTAAGTTTATGAAAGAATATATATGGGAGCAAGTTAAAGACTTATAGGAACTTCTTACATCAATATTAGTATAATAATCAGGCAGATAGATCTTTTTTTTTTAAATCTCATTGATGTTGACCAAAGTTAGTTTCCAAAAATCAATACTAGATGCCTCTTCATGTGATATATTTCTTTAGTATGTCATTCTATATGTATTCCTTGTATATCCTTGAATTTCCTTGAATTAAAATTAATGTTAATTATTAATTATCATAGCAATCTATTTAATATATTGATCTAAACTTAGATTTATTTAGCCTCTAGAACTTCCACTGTGTTTCTTATTAGAGACAAAAATAAAGATCTAGGGAGCTCTTCAGCTTTGTACTTCTAGGATTTGGAGTCAGAAAATCTCAGTGATTTGCATATGTAACTTTAGAACCTGATTGTTAACATACCCCCAAGTTCCAATGAAGTGAAAATTAGTCCACTATCCAGAGAAAACATTAATCTTCTGTTTATTCACAAGATACAAAGAAGACTCTTTTTGTGCCACTATTGTCAATTCTATCACAACCAGTCAACCAATTGAACTCCTATGGATTATCTAGTTTAAACTCTATTATTTTCTTTATTTATCTGATTTTCCAAGTGACAATGTACTAATCAGACCTTCCGTGGGGCATCAGCATCGAACTCTAATTGGACATTTGTGGACAAAGGAGCAGAAGCAGTTTTCATGCGTATGAAAACAAGGAATCCAAGCATCCTGAAAAGATCTGGTGCACAGTGCTTTTTTTCAGGCCACAATTCTACTGTGAGTATTCCCATATTTCCTTACTCTCTAAAAAGCTCTAGGTTACCTTCTGCCTCACTGAGGGCAGACCTGCTCTGCACAGCTTTGAGTGCTGCCCCCGGAAAACATGGACTTCAGATCACCAGGAGCCAGCTGCCGAGGGAGATGCTGTTTCAGAATTGTTAAGTTTGTGATTCTACTGAAGGTCATTTTCTCCCCCTCTGCAGGCGAGCACGGCCCGACTGGCTGCTGCATTAGAATAAGCAGATGCTATCAGCACCAGCAACAAATTATCTTCTGAGGCTTTGTGATTTTGGGAGAGTAGCAGGTTGTGGCAAGTCAATTTACATTGAGAAAGGAGAGGGAGTGAAAAGGAGGTTATATCAGCATTAGCAGGCAATCCGGTACAAGGGAAAAGGAACAGTAAATTGAAGCTGGACAACTAGTGTGAAAGAAGCCATTACCTGTGCACCCATATCACTCCCACTGAGGTACATAGAAAACCAGATGTGGGCATAGGGAGGTTTCACACCTGAAAAGGATTCATGTATTATGGTCAAGTGGTAAAAACCCAGAGAAAGCATGTGCATATGCATGTAAATGTTTTGGGAGATGTAACTGTTCACATGAAACAGTTCCTTGCACCAGGACTTGGGGGTGTGCTGCAGCAGGAGGGGCCAACCCACTGTTTGTTTGCTGTTTCCAGGAGAGCACTGTTCTATGGCTGAGATCCCAGTCCCAGAACCAGAGTGGTGGCATAAATGGTTCTCTGCAATAATGGGAGAGCACACGTCCTTATATATTTTCAGATGTGCAAACATTTTACCCTATAGTATTACGCATAAGTACCTGCACGTAAACCAGCAGAACTTGCTGAAAGACATGGAAGAACTTTATAACAAAACAAAGAATAGAGCTCCATGTTCCTAAAACCCAACTTGGGGTTCCAGTGAACAAGACTTGCTCTACCTCTGTGACTCAGGCTGGCCTCTGCTACTTTCAGACACAGAGCACACCCTTATTTGTGCACAGAACTTCAAGATAAGCCTTGAAGACTATGTAATATATTCAGGAAAGGTACCCATTAAAGGCAAGTCCTACACCTCTGCTTTTAGCCATTGTATCTCTACATCCATTTCACACTGGCATGCAGAGTCTGCACTGCTTTTTTCCTAACATTTCCTTCAGTGTTTTAAGAACAATCCATATTTCTGACTGGGACTGGGAAGCAATGAAGCCATCTGCTGCAATATTATTTGCAGAAGATATCAGACACCAATTTCAAAACCAGTCTGGCTTTATTACCACAGTGAAATACACTATTTCAGCATTCTTCTGTCAGAACGGAAAGACAAAGCTTCCATACATCTCCATGCAGATGACTCTTCCTACCTCTGGACTCAACACATCCTGTGACCTACCTCCCTTCCTCTATGGGCTCGCAAAAATATTTATCCCAGCACCCTAGGACGTTAGCCATGTTGTTTTCTACTGTCAAGCAAATATCTGCAGATATTGATGAGTTTTGATGTTTCACTCATATCAATCCAGAGATTCCTACACAATCTGGCATTAGTTTTCATTTGCCCAGCCCAAAAAGGAAACTAACCTTACCAATCCTGAAAGACTTCTGTACAAATGTGAGTGGGTAAGCCACTGGTACAACTCAAAGTTATAGAAATTCTTTTAATTTTTCTATAAGATCACATTTATATTTTTAGACTAGAGGAATACACAAGATTTAGTCATCATTGACCTTTGAGGGCTACATTAGAGCTAGAGGCAAAAAACTAAAAAACCCACCCACTTGCATAGCATCACAAATATTACTCTATGTTCAATTCGTCTTCTTTTCTTCTGACATGACTTTTGATCATTGTCATATGACTGTGAGGTTTAAAATGAAGCTGTCTCAGTTAGTCTTTCTAAACACAAGAATTTTTAGACATGAGGCAGTTCAGCAACTCAGATTCAAAACAGGACATCAGCCTTTAGGTACCTTTGTGTTTCCACTTGCTGCCAAGATCCATCAGTTCCCTTACCTGCAGAGTGCAATGAAACTTCTACTGCAATTCTTCCCCCAATGTTCACTAAAGGTCTCATAGGGGTCACAGACCACAGGTTTCACTGGAGCAGAACCAATCCTTCCTTCAAATGATTTGAGGGATTTCTCATGCCTTCTCCTTTCCCTATGAAAAAACCAATTCAGAACAAAAAAAAAATATATTCAATAACACCACTGTAAGAGTTCTCAACAATTTCAAGTCAGTAGCCTTTCAAATTCTAGGGCACTTATGAACGTACAGTTGAAAGCAATCAACACAAATCTAGATTATTCTTTGAAGAGTCTGTTTGATGTCTCTTTTTCAAACTGCTAGGTGAACCATAATACAAACAAAATCAGGCTGCTGAATCTCTGATTTAAGAGCATTCACCATTAGAAATTAAAGAATGCAGTCTCCTGACTCATTCACATGCCTTTGGACTGCTATCAAACCTGGAGTGGGTGCAGCATCTCATCTTTCTAGCATAATGTTTACAAAATTCTGCTCTTCCTCTCTCAAACACTGCTGAGGTTCCTTGATTTTTCAATTCAGTTCAAAACAGGAGCAGTACTTTTTCTTTCTCTTTTCTAATATCTGTTTATATTTTAGGGAAATCCAGGTGAAATGGCCCATGATTAGCTTTTCAGGGGCAGATATATAGATTATACTATAGGCAAATCACTACATTGCTCAACATTTTAAATCATGCTGAAAAAAAAACTCAGCAGAGGAAGAAGTCCAAATATTCTTGCCAGAAAATTGGGCTAGCACATTTAAAGCACAAAAGTTTCCATAGCCAAGACATTCACATCTGGATGCTTTTAACTTTGTCAGCATGGCCAGACACCCACTTGTATCTCGGTGTTGTGCAATTCCAGGATGAAACTCAAACTCCTACCATGAATCCAGAAGAAGCAGCCTAACACTGCCATCACACCCTTTCTTGTAAATCTTTGGTCCTAGAGAACTTCTTCCAGCTCTAGGGTTTGGAATAACTTGTTTTCAGACCAAAGCTGTCTTCTCCAAACCAAGTCCTGTATCCTGGCTGAGTTAGCTGGAGTTAAATCAGCATAAAACTAAAATAGCACAATGGAAAGTCAGGCTTACTGTTAAATCATGCTTCTATTTTTATCTGGCAAAGCACTTAAGCATGTGCTTGAGATCCACAGAACTTAAGCATATGCTTAAAGTTAGTCCTCTGTTTACATGCACTGTTAACTCAGGGCTTATAAATCAATTGATTTTGTGAATCTGGCTGAAATACTGTGATTTTTAAAAGGAAACACAATGCTAATCTCCAAATATGAAAAGGGATCCATAGGCTGAGGATGCAGAAACTTGCACATCAAGCAGGGAAAACTGAGTACTAGCAGTTGGGTCAAAAGCTCACACAAACGTAGACAAAGGAAAAGGAATATTTCCAAGTGAACTGCTGGATGCCACAAAGCAGGAAACAAATTTTGGAGTTAAGTAAGTTCAACCTTAGTAGAAAAGGGACACAAACATGGTGGCACAGGTAAAGCCAAGCTTTATCTAGCCCAGTAGTTGACCTGCAACACTGCAAAAGCAGATACTTAACAGACACATGACACAGTCCACGCACGGAATGGTCACAGTCTTCCAGTTTCCAGCCATAGCAATTTAGGGACTTGAAGCAACTTCTAAGCCCACACAGGCCATTGTGTTTAGTAGCTTCTGATTAATGGATTCTACAAGATTTTGGCTGATCCTATCTTATATTTATTTCATTTTACTGTTTCCAGTATCCATCATCATTTCCACAATAAAATATTAAAAAGTACTCCTTTGATTCAGTGCTACTATGCGTTCAGTTTGTTTAGCTCTCTTAGTTCTTGTGTTACAGGAAGGAGGAAATGATCAGTTCCCATTCACCTCTTCCATATCACTCATGATTTTATGAGCCTCTGTTAAATGCTTCCTCATTTTCTAGACTGAAAAGCAATGCTTTGTTTAGACTTCTCCGTAAAAAAAGTGATATTTCACACTTCTAGCTACTCTAATTGTTCTTTGCAATGCCTTTTCTACTTCTAACACATCTTTTTTGAAATTGAGTGAACAGTCCTTCATGCAGGAACACTACAGGAAGATCATTATCTCCATCTCTCTCCTATACATACTGCAGTGGCATAAACCTTTTGGTTTTTTGTCAATTATTCCAAAAAACTCAAAAAATTTATCTTTGTATTTTATAGGACTTCTAGTACTTGTCTGATATTTCTGGAAAATGAGCAACAGTGACTTTATTAAGCATTTTCCTGAACAGAAAAAACACAGAAAACAGCTACCTAGAGGCATGAATGGTCAAGATTATTTTCCCCTGTAAGATTTATGTGTATTGACACTGACTTTTATCTGCCACTGTACTGCCCAGTTTCTCAAGATCCTTCTGCAAAGGACCAAAAAGCTTTATTTATCACTGTGACAGTGATTTTTTGGCATGACTGAATTCACTGCCCTCCCTACTAATTCTTTTTTCCAGGCAGGGCTGTTGAAGAACAGTTGCCCTGCCCCAGAAATTCTACAAGGACCGCCCTCCCCCTCCTGCCCCCAAGGGATCACTATAAGGAACATAAAAATTTTCTAGTGTGAAAATTGGCTACTTACAGCTATCTTTTTTTTCATACCTTGGTGAGACCCTTTCAAAATTCATTCAAAACCCCAAGCACACTATATTAAGTGTCACATGCTTTTCCAGATGCTTATTCATTCCTTTGAAGATCTCCAGGGTTTGCAATGCACGCCTTTAATTTACAAAGGTCGTGTTAACACACCCGCAGTATATCGTATTTTTGTGTGCTGCCACTAAATCTGTTGTAACTTCCTTTTAATTTTTCCTGGTAGAGAAGCCAGACTTCAGTCGCCTGCAGTTTTTTTAATCCCCGCTGGAACTCTTCTTGAGATTAGTGTCAAATTAGTTACCTCCTCTGGGATCAGGGCTGACTGAACCCAAAAGTTTCACACCAGAGTAATTTAGAACATTTGAGTGAATATCATCTGTTCTGGTGATTTGCTATTGTTAATTCCATTCATATCTGTTTTAAAAGCTCTTCTGTTAACAATTCAATTAGAGGCCATTCCTTGGGCTCAAACCTTGGAGGACTTCCCATTTGCTGTCCAGACAGTGCCTCTGCTTGCTGACCTCGACTGCTCCTTTCACACCTTGGTCACTTGCTGAACCCACCATTTGCAAGCAGACTCCCAGCTCCTGTTGTATTTGGAGGAACTTTTGTTATTAGTTTCCATGTCTTTTATGAGTCACTCCTCAAAATATTTTGGTTTGTATTGTTACAGGTTTACATTTAACTTGTAAGAAATTATATTCCTCTGCTTTCTTTGCTTAGGCATGTTTTCCACTTTTTAAAGGACACCTTTTTATTTCTAATAGACCCCCTTCCTCCACTCTTTAACACTAGTAACTTCTTCAGGGGGTTAGGTGAATTTTGGGAACTGATGAGATATGTTTTCTCCACTTTACAGGCATGGTACTTACATTCTTAATTTTTACTCATTAATGCTATTAAAATAAATTAAATTTCTTAAATATTAAAATGCTTTTGAAAGAAAAATACTGTCATGGTCTTTGGGTTTTTCCTAATGTTATTATTACTAGTGAAATATGGAAATCGACCATGCAGTGGTCACTACTGCCAAGCAATTCTTCAGTGCAACAGCTACAGTTTAAATGGCACTTAGTCAAAAGTGTCTTTTCCCTTTTATTGGTCTGTTTAAAAGTGTAAATTAAAATTTGCCCTTTATATCCTAAGTAGGATAAATCATCTCCAGTCTATTTTCTTGGATACTCTTTTTCCTTTGCCTTTGATCTTTCTTAAGTATTTCACGGATATTTTCACTGCCTTGGTCAGATGTTTGAAAGGGTACGTTTGTGATAATGTTTTCCTTGATTTGGTATGGCAATATTCAACCCATGGAGAGTGGGTGGTAAACGATGATACAGATAACTGATTTATCTTATTGGACTCTGATTTCCAACCGACTCTGAGTCACTCCTCCAACGGCAAAATCTACTCTTGTTATTTCCACATAATAATTATCCTGGTAGCACAGCATTGTACTGATTAGCTTCATTCAGTAGGATTTCTGTGAGGCCAGTACATTGAAATTCACCCATCCTAACTTTATATACATTTAATATTTATAGAAAAGCACAGATACTTTTGGTCTTGGTTTAGCTGCCCATCTGCATGTGCCTGGTTTAACTGTGGGTTTGCTTAGACTGTTGCATTATCTGAACATTATTGATGGCTGTTCTATCCTGCCATGAAGGCACAGAGGGAAACCTGTCACCAGGATGAGTGTATCCTTCTCCAGGACCTCATCTCAAATAATTTTAAAGACTCTCCCAGTACTTGTTTTCATTCCCAGTGCCATCAGCCTGGTTACCCCCCTTTCGGAAGAGACCATCCCTCCCATCCATTCCTGAGCATCTCTCCTGTCTTCTTCCCACACCACTTCCTTAGACACACATTGTGTCTCTCATTGTCTGGGGCAAGTATTTCTTGAATGCTGTAATGGAGTTCCTGTTTTTTACCATCCCTCCTATCAAAATGTTATGTTTTGCCTCCTGGACCTCTCCCTTGTATTTCCTTGGTGCTCACAACAACGACCAGCTATGACACACAAGGAAGGTCACCAGCTCCTCTCCAGTATCCTCTCAGAGGCTGCTCAGACACCACAAGACACAAAGCCCCCAGAGCATAGGCAAATCACTACATGCTCCCCCCTGGCCTTGTATTCCCAGTTACTAGTCCCATGCAGCTCCACAGCCTGGCTCTTCCTACCCAGCGGGACTGTGGTTCTTCCAGCATGTGTCTTGCTTAAAGCGGATACACAAAGTTGCCTTCTGGCAAGAGAGAGGGGTCACATGGACAGTATCTTCTGCACACATGTACTCATTCAGTCTGAAACACAATTTTATGATTTGTCTTATTGTCTTCTAATTCAAGCACCAACAACAAGACAAGCCAATTCTCCCAACCAAATCTCTTCTAAAAGTCCACTGTACATTCATCACCCAGAAAACAGAAAGCTTCTTTTATTGCACACCTAAAACCAGCAAAAAAAACAGGTGAACATGTGTTTTCCAGAGAGAAACTTCGGTGCTTATACTTCCTATCACCACAGTCCTCACTCTCCTGTGCTTAGGGAAGTTTTCATCTGTTTAGAAACCAGCCTTCTGGGGAACACAATTGCGGTTTTCGCATTTTTATTTTTATTATTTTCTAAAGACTGACCCTGTGTTTAATTTGCAGAGAGCACATGGTACAGAACAGATCAAGGGGTTTGGCACAGAGACAGAAGGTACCTTCAACCCTCAGTCAATTAAACATGAAATGTAAAACCTGGCAAGTCTTGCATTTAATCCTCTTTGCACCCCTTAACACCCTGCCAAAGATCAGAAATACTTCTCTTCTTAAAAAGAATAAAAGATTTCAGAACACATCATCAACTCCTCCCTTCAGTCCTCAATACTGACAGTGTTATCTCTACACACAAAGCTTCTCCCCTTTCTCCAGCTTGGCAACAAAACCCAAGCTCAATGAATATTTTATATGTGTGTGGTTAATGGAGCATTCTGGCTCCAGTCCATTAGGAACCTTACACAACGGTGTATTAACTGCTTCTCAATGTAACATTTTGAGTCTGTCCAAAAGGGATGTGTGTTTGCCAGTTGAGCCAACACACTATTATTGTCTTGTCAGCCTAGTTCCTGTCTTCGGTTGAAGAGCAGGGTCCCCTGCCACAGCAATTTGCCACCATTGTGCTCCCAGCAGCAACCCAAGAAGATTAGCCCAGATCTAAAGTCTATTTTCCCCTCTATATTTTGAGGTCCGTATTTCATGCGGGATGGGGAATGCCTGCAGTCTTTGCCCTCAAAGATACACACAGGGATAAGCAATGGCATCACAGATTAACATAAGGGCAAATATAAAGCAGTTGAGATCTTTAATTTTGATGGAAACCAGGCCCCCATATTCTTTCATCAGCTCTGAAATTGGTAGCCTTAAAATCCACCTGATTGATTGAAAAATTGATAGCAGAATGACAACATTTGACAAAGTATTTATAACCTTCTCACTTTAAAAACCTCCTCTGTTCCTCTAGGCCATCACAGGCAGAACACCATCTCCATCAAAATCAGCACAGACATCTCAGCAGTTAGATGGGCACAGGTCACTCCACTTAAAACAAGGGACAGTATAATTCTATCCTGCACATAAACAATACCCCTGGTAAATCGTCAAAATAAGACAGCTGCTGGATTTCTCAGATGAAGAGCCCTGTGAGAGTTAGGGGTCCGGATCTGAATGCTCATCTATGCCTGCCTCACAGTTTGTGGAGTGCACAGGAGCTTCCAAGTATGAATCATCCCAAACTAAGGCAGATGTCTAAGATGGGTAAGGTGAATGGCATGGGCTGTTTATCACTCCTCACTGAGCAAAGAGAGTCTAGATGACAATCTTAAACTTTATGTCTAAGCTTTAGATAACCAAAATCAGGTGAGATGATTCCCAGCCCCAAGGTTTGCAGACTTATTACCAGGCAAGCCACAGACCCTGACAGACTTGGGGCAGAAAATAACAAGATAAAGAAAAGTGCTGATGTGGAAGGACTGATCTCATTCCTTCCCTGCCTGAAAGCAGAAAGAGCTGATGTTTCCAAAGGCAAAGCCTATCCTTCGCTCTCATATCATTGTTGAAACACAGTGGAAGAAAGGGAACACTGTTGCTGGATTTCACAGGACTCTGTAGTGCTTTCTACAACACCTACACGAGGTAGTTACCACCCACGAGGGTCTTGGGAATTACAGGCCAGTAAACAAGGCCTAGAGGAGCCAGAGAGAGACTGTTGGCCAAAAGACAGATGAGGTGAAGGCTTTTGATAGGTAGGGATCACCTCTAGACAAATAGCTCCTCCTTAACCAGTAGTGCCTGCACACCCATGGCTTACCCAAAAGAGGCAGAAATGGAAAGGTCTGGAGTTGAAGGATGTGGGAAGGGTTCTCAAAGACACATAATGAAGGGAAGATCCATGCAAATTTTGAAGGCATTTCTTATTGCAAAGATTTGGAAGAAAAAGCAATAGTTTCCCCAAGGGCACTGACAAGATCACTGTGTCTCATGTCACACTTAAGAAAGGACAGGCACTGCACAAATGTAATCGAAAGCCATAAATCTGACTGACCAGAAGCTCAGCTGCTCTGAATACAGCTCTGAAGTCAGGTTGTTTCTCTCTCCCGAGGCACAGGCAGCAAATCAGTCATTCTACCAGCAGATAATTCAGTTTCCAGCCCTCCCTCATCTCCCTCCCAGATCCCTCAGCATTCCCCCCCACACCCCTTAGCGCTATCATCAATGGAAAGTTTTGAGAATTAGCTGAAAACAACCAAAGCGCCTAATTGACTGAAGAAGGGAAATGGCAACTTCCATCATCTCAAAAAGCTGCACCTCTCTCCTACTCATCTCAAAGCTGAATAAAGGAATTAAAAACACAGCCTGGGGCAGCCAGCAGAGATTTACAAGAAGCAGACATTAGTTATAACTCTAAAGGCTGGGCGTGTGTGTGAGCCAAGAGGAGCAAACAGAGAAAGAGAGCAAAAACATACAGTCTTTGGATTTAAAGAGGAGGAAGGAGAAAGAAAAAAAAAATGAAAAAAATAATCAGCAAACTCTAAACCCTTCCTAATAAAACAAAGATCATCCTGGCAACATGAAATGCTACCCTACCTTGTTTATTTATCGACACAAAGAAAGAAGCAAGTTGGCACCTCAGAGGGTATTAAATGCTGGTTTTTTGCTGACTGAATGACCTCAGCTGAAATATTTTCCATGACAAGAACCCAGAAGATGCTGGCACAGTGTCAGACAATAAGATTTTCAGAGTGTATTTACATTCTATCCATGGCCCCAGGCTGTTCCAAACCCATAGGCAGGTGTTGCCTTTATCTGTTCTTTGCTCACCTGGCTCCCCAGCAAAATGTTCTGAGACCTGTGGCTCAGTTGCCTTAACTGTTTGCTGCCTGGTGCTTAGAAGGCTTCAGAGACATCTGGAATCCTGGCAAATAGAGATGGAGACTCCATTTGCCCCTCAAAGCTGATCAGTGAGTGGTGTGTAAGGAGTTTTTGCCAACAAGCAGAAGGAAAACAGTGGTGATGCAATGGTAGAAGACAGCTAAAACCCAGACAAATTCATGCTGAGAAAAAAGATACTTTTTAAAAGAGGATGGGAAAAGGTGGTTCTTTCAAGGATGCACTGCATTTTCCATCACTTGGTATCTTAAAGCTAGGTATGAATAGCTCTCTGAGAAGCAACACTCAAGATCCTGCAGAAGACCAGAGGAGAGGGTCACAATTACAGCTCCTAGCCTTGAAACCTCTGCAGGACAATATTCCATTGTCGAGCACAGGATGCTCACCAACCCACATCCCTACAGCAGTGGATAAAAGGGAGGCATCCAGGCTAAGCCACAAAGAACCACAGGATTCTGCCTTTCATCTCCATGGCACAAATTCACTACATCACAGGTTTCCAGCTTCCAGCTACATGTTCTCCCATAGCTAGCTCCTGACCTGGTCTTCAAAAAAACGATCTGTTCCATCCCTGCGGTGGAAACGGCCTCCTCTTTGCTCACTTTAATTTGGCTTCTAGTGCACAACTCCTCTCTCTTGAGTAATAAGCCTCCAGGAGATGCTGCGAGAGGATACGCCCTTCATGCCGCCCAACCAGGAAGAATGATAATTGCACTTTTAACAGCACTGTGTACAAGGCAGCCACCAAAGCAGAGGAAGCAAGAATTAAAGCAGGATAAAAAGGAGGGGCTTTACCATCTACCTAATAAGGTATTATTCATGTTTTTGGAAAGTTTCCTTTCAGAGAGATAAAAACAGACATAATAGGCAGCCATAAGCAACTGCCTCTAGAAAAGGAAAGGCCTGCCTGCCATCTCACAGCTCTATTGTCATGCTGGACTCACCTTCTACCTTCCCACCTTCAAGTCCCCCTCCCTTTCCTATCTTCTTGCCGTGTGTCCTTGTTTAACCTGTTTTGTACCCAAGTCAGCTCCCCCTTGCCCATGTGCATGGCTCAGGTCTGGCCCACTCACACACACCTTCACTGCAGTTCCCTCCAGTCCCACCACCTTTACCCACCTAAGGAAAATTTCTTTTTTCCTTTCTTCTTCCCTTTCTCTCACTCCTGTCTTCCCTGCAAAGTTCTTCAACTCAAATTCACTCCAGGCCTACTGTGCGCAAAGCATTTCCCCTTTCACATCCCTTCCCCAGCCCACACCCATCAGCTCACTCATGCCACCCCACATCAGATAAGATGCAGTCATCTGCTAACTGTGCTTGTAACTGTATTTATGTATTTGTCTGGCCTCACTTTTCACCCAGGAAACAAAAATGTGACCTTACCCTCCAACCAATTTATCATAATAAACTTCCACTCATGAGCCCAAAACAATGCTGAGTTTTAAACATCTTCACAAAGTAAATTAACCACTGCTCACTTGCATAATGTGTCACTGTCCTTTTCAATCCTGTCCAACTGGTTATCATAATCTATAAGTACCTTGCAGTCTTTGCCATCTCTGAAGCTGTTCTGTGCACGCTGTGCAGGATTTGCCATGCTGGGAAGTGCACCTCCAGGAAGCCTTTCCTGCCAGGCAGAAAAATAAACAAACAAAAAATACACCCAGATTATACTTCATAAGGATTTTAGGTTCACGGCAAATGGAATCCTAGTGGAAATTTCCAAGGATTGCAATAAAGTTATACAACTCAGTCCCATCACATTTGGCATCCAACAAGCTAAGGACCTGTGAAAGCTCTGTAGGCATCTTCAGGTACTGAAATGCCTTTGGAAACAAGGCATGGAAACTGCAAAAGAGGCATTAAATGTTTAATCAGGTGTATGGGCAGCTCTTTGGTTCCAATCCCTGGATAAAATCAGATGAACACATACACTAAGACCCCCACATAGGCAGATGTGCAGAGAACAACTTTTCAAAGCTGTCCCTTCCCTGGCTCTGGACTCCCAGTCATCATTACAGACTGGTTTAAAAACAAACCACAAAAAGATCCCACAGACAACCCCCCCCCCCCAACAACCAATCGATCTGTAGTCCTCCTGAGATGAAATAAATAAGCTATGAAGAGCTCCTCTCAGCTGTAACAGTGAGGGATAGAAATGGAGGAAAACACAAGACTAACCAGGTACTGCACATGATATCTGCCAGTAGGAGCTCTGAGTAATTCTTGCATTCAGTGTTGCTGCCACTGTCCAACCCAAGGACATATTTTATACAATGCCTCACTGATAATCCTGTAAGGATTTTCAGCTCTGTCTTGTACAGCATTTTAATTGCTCACACTGTTTCAGGAGCTCAATCATTCACAGAAGGTATTTTCATCCCACTAATTGTAGGTTTCCCAGAGGACTCAGTACCGTATTTCATGTCCTCAGTGCTATTAAATGCTCTAGGAAAGAATCCAGACTTCCAGAAGTCATTTTTTTTTGTGTCTGTATACAGTTCTGGAGAGGAAGAGGGCAAATCGGGGAAAGGAAAATGTTTAGGCATTAAACACTTTCATGAAAAAAGAGTCAAAAAGACAATATTTTAGATAATGTTACAATAGCCTCATCGAAGTTAGGTCTGGAACCTACAATTTCTAATACTAATAGTACGCAGGCATACCCCTGCACTGGGAGAAGTAATTTCTTTAGTTAGTAGCTAAAGGTTATATCTATATCTCTAGTGGCATCCACCCTAGGGAATGATTTCCAGCCTCCCAGGACAGGTAGTACGGAACATCTCATGCCGACACCGCCCAGGGCTATCTTGGCTCTAGAGCAGAGCAACCATGCCCACAATGTGTGGCACTTGGCCTTGTGGCCATAAGACATAATACTTGCTTCTGTGTGTGCTTGAGGTCACTATGCCTAAAATAATTTGAGTCGTGTGGCAGCCCAGGAAGGCAACGATTTTATTGCCTGACACTCAGGGCTGTGCTGCATGTCCTGCAGAAGGAGGGGGTGGTGGCAGGGTACAGCCAAAGAGCACAAGGTCTGGGATGGCTTGGAAGGACTGGAAGGGGCAGATGGAAGCCAAATGTCACAGTGCTGTGCTGCCTTCTGGGAGCAGTCCTGCAGGTCTCCTTTTGGTAGGGTCTAGCTGGTTCACCTCAACACCAGACATGGAAATGGGCTTGGAGGCTGATATATCTGGCAGTGTAGGTACATTTACTGCAGGTTGTCACCCCTCCTGAGCAGGCAAACCATTAGAGAGTCAGAGACCCACAGTCTCCAAATGCAACAGCTCAAGCCATGTATTTTGAAGGAAGGAGAGAATGGAGGTTTCCAAGTGCATCTGTACAGCATATCTGAAAAGTAATAATTGTATGGTACTGCATTCCCTGGAGTGCTGGTAACGTCATACCTTCCCTTGGTGCCAAGGAAATTTAGACACAGCCCAAGGAGAAAACTGCAATTCTAGTGGAAAAAGGGCTGACATCTGCCAAGTCCCTGAAGCTCACCACACTGGGAGGGTATGGAGACAGCAGGTGGGAGATCTATAGCCTAAAGGAAAGCCCCTGTTGCCAGCCCCTTCCTATTGGGTACCAAGTGCTCTAAAGTCAAGACAATGTTCAGCCAGGTTTTCCATGATCCTGTAATGGTGGAAAAGGCTCACAAGTGCTGTCCCACAGATTAAGGCACTTGTACATGAGATGGGCAGTGGCAACCCTTGGTATACACGCTCTTAGTTATGTGAAAGGCAGTTTGGCACCTTGGCTCATAACAGGGGCTGTGAGTTGATCAGCAGTAAATTATTAGATTGCTGTACCTCAACTGTGACCTTGAGTCTTCAGGAAAAATAGTCTTCATAATTGTGATCTCTGGACTGTTGTGGTATGCAGATCCCAGAAAGCAAGTCTGGTTTACTCTGGCTCTTAGCAAATGAGAATCTGCGTCACAAAACCCATTATCACAGTTGGCATTAACCAGCAATCATCTTACCAATTATCTCTGCAAAAATACCCCGTTGAAATGGCCGAGGCAAGCCAGAAGACCCCTTACCTTAAATAGCGACTTGTGGGTCCTGTCCTGATAGCAATTTTATCCTGAGAGAATTCACTTTCACTACCCACAACCCTGCACCCTGGCACTCTCACCTGGCACATCTGACTGGGGTGGACCAAGGAGTATTCCAAAAATGGAACTTTTACATCCCCCGCAGGGGTACAAAGCACAGTGCAAACGGCATGACTCAGATGCTGCCTGGAACATGTAATGAGGATATTAAACTAGATCATCATTTTATAGGTTACTTTATTTTTAATTGAAAAAAAAAAAAAAAAGAAAACACACAAGCCAACCAACCTACATATTTGGCCTTCAGATAAATTTTTTGTTTTACGTGACAGCTTTTTCCTCTACTTAAAAATTTGCATAAATACTGTCAAGACAGGACACGCATGGTAAAGAATATGCAAAAGCCCAAGCTAAGCCCAGCTGCCTGCCTCTCCCACTGTGCTCTGCCAGGACAGCAGAGATCAGTGGGGCTAGTACAGAGAGCAATCCCCCCTTCTGCACGTCACTAGGCCAGGGACTTGGTCCTGCTGGCACACAGCCTTCCCTTCAGTGAGCCCTTCAGTGACAGATCCCAAACAGAAAGCCTGGTTTCATTTCACTCAGCCCTTCCTGCATAGTCACTGTAATGGTGGAGGGGGGAGTTGCTTATTTTCCTGTGGAAACTGAGAACAAGAAGCTTCAATGTGACCTCCCCTGCAAAGAGGGGAGAGCAGGGGCAACACAGCCAGGAAAGGCAAGGATGCTGGAAGGAAGGTGTCAACATGAGGTTGTGTTTACCCACACAAGGGCACCCTGCATGATTTCACACAGATTTAATTCAGCTCGTGCAAACTCCTGTGCAGATACTTACTTGTGGTTCAGGGAGGTTTATCTCTGCTAACAGGATTAGGAAAGGTTTAAGCTAAACCAAAAGAGAAGAATGCACACAAGTGCACTCACAGCTTTGAAAACAAACAAATACTGAACAAATCTGCCTTTAGACATGGCCAAAGCAACCAGAGCTCCATTCCCAGCAGCCCTTCACACAGAGAGCATGTTGTCTAATGACATCCTCTTTGCTGCTTTCCTGCTGCCCCCCTACCTTACCACCCACTCAGTACAGAAAATTGCTGCACTTTACACCTACATGCTGCTTAATAACTTACATCACTCCAGAATTTGGCCCAAGTAGCCACACTGGCTTATGAAGAGGTGTGCAAAACAGCTAAGCAAATTTTTTTTGTCCCTTTAAGAGGGCAGTGGGCAGCAGAGTGTGCCTGTGCTGTAAGAGCCTGGTATTGTGCTGCAGTAGAAAGAGCCAGAGGCAGAACAAAGGGAAGCTCCACCTGCTACCCCGCATTCAGCACAGGGAAGCCATTGCTCAAACCAGGTACCACCAAGGCTTCCAAAAATCTCTACTAGTGGGAAAGCACCTATTTAAACAGTCCTTTTGTACTGATAACACTTGCACAGGTCAATTGAAAGGGCATTTGCTCCCTGTCCGAGTAATACTGCTGCCATCTGTACCGAGCTCTGCAGCGATTCAGCTGGAGGTACAATGTAACCCAGCAGGGAAAGTGAAGTTTACTGCATCCTCCTGGAAGGGCAGGGTGGATCTCCATCTGCAGGGCGTGGTTGCTTTGAGGTGGAATTTGGTTGGGACTTTGGTGTAATAGCAGGAGTCCCGTGATGTTCATTCTGGAGAGGTGAGGATGTTGGGTTTACATTTTTTCCAAAAGGTTGGGAGTTGTGGTGAGCATAATCATCCTGGCATGTCAGCCTGTGCTACCTAGGGGGAAGAGCACCACCTTCTGAATTACCAAGTCAAATTGACTGTAGCAATCAACTTCTCCTTCTAAGTCCCCTTCCAAAAACAAACAGGCCCAACCCTGCTTAATTTATGAGATCATAGCCCAAGGCAGTGGAGCTCTCTGGGACATCACTGCCTCACCCATCATCTACAAACATCAGTTGGGCAGGGATGGTATAGATCTCTCCCACATTTTACATACACAGAGATCTCTGACCAATGACATTATCCCACTAGAAAGTGCCTGCAGCAGCTCTCCAAGGTGGTAGGTAACCAGCAGAGCCATGGAAATAAGGACAAAGCAGTAGAGTCGTCAGGAAAATGTACTGTGCAGATCTCTAACCTCTCCTGGCTGGCTCAGAGTGAAAACCTCTTGCCCAAACTGGTGCTTGTCATTCAAAGATGTCTTTCATGAACCTTGCCACAACCAAGGCTTTGCTGCTCAGCTCTACTCCAAGCATCATATTCATCTCCTCATCATCACTTCAGAACCCATTTGCATTGTTAAAAGAAATTGGTTTTCCCTTGATATCTTCAAATCAAAGCTGCCTGAGCTAGAGATCTTTCTTTCGTTAAGGCATGTTACTATCCTTAATGAGTTTCTCAAATGCATAATCCATACCTTACACTTCATAAATCACAAAGTCTTATTGTCCTACAATTCAGGCCTGGCCGAACACTGAAGCAAAAATTTCTCATTGAGTTTTTCTTGAATCTGGCCTTTTCATAGCATTGGTTCTCTGACAACAACGCAGAAACCTTCACCACTGCTTACAAAATTAACGTTATTGACCCACACCTTACACGTGACAAAACAGAGGTCAGACAATCTTCAGAGGTTCATGAAAGGTCAGACTGTGACTCTGCCTCTAAGCTGATATCTACCACTATCTACCAATTTCACTATCTACCTATTTGTTGCTTTGCAACACAAAGAACCAGGAAACACAGAAAGACTAGGTGAAAAATAACTATTAATCTTCTCCTAGACAGGGCAGAAGTGTTGTAGTTGGTACATCTGATAACCATTTCATAAGTCACGTCATCTTGGGTGTTCTTGACAGCCTCATTCTTAGAAATTAGTTCCATTCAATAGTTACACAAAGAAAATCAAATTAATTAATTGACAATATGTATACTACTCTTGCAAGCAAAAAAGCTGAGAAAAGATGACATCATATAGAACAGAAGATCAGAATTCAAAATTATCTTGATAATCTGCAGAAATTGGGGAAGGGGGAAGTTTAATTTAGTAAAAATCAGTACAACATACTGTACAGTACAACATACTGTGATTGCAAGGCATCCTTCCTCCCTCCTCAACATGGGTAAGGTCTCAACTGGTGGATTGCCTCTAGCCTCAGACTCACCCTTCAAGAAAGATATGGACAGATTGCAGAGTCCATGGAAAAGCAGAAGGTTGGGATACATGATCTCCAGCAACCACATGAGCTGGGATGTTTAGGCAAGGGGAGAGCTGGTTAAAATGGAGCAAGAAAAACATCTTCAACTGTGTAAAAGGCCATGCAAAAAATGCATTGACATTAGGGCGGCTGTATGATAAAGTTACTTTTGATTCCTGGACCCATCTCTGTAACAACTGTATGATTTATGGTTAAGAAAGAAGCTTGAAATATAGTTTAAGGGTAATCTACAGGTTAAAAAAGTTGAAGTTAAAAAAAACTGAAAAAAGTTTTTCTTATGTCATGATTTGACTTGTGCTGGATGAGAAGATCCAGAATTTTTTATCACAATTTGGCAATGTTCACTTGCTTCCCTAAAGGGTTTTTGAATGGAACCAGCATTGTATCAACCATGTTACCTCCTCCCATTGTCTGTTTTCACTGACATGGGTATCTTGAGCCTGGTGCAGCTTTCCAAAGCACCCAGGCTGCACAGGGACATGGAGTCCCTCTCTATTATGTTGCAACTTAGCACAAAACTCTTCCTTATCTTCTTATCTTTCCGCAGAACTTTCTACAACTCAATCTGATGTGCTCTGCACTGACTTACATAGGTCTTGCAGTGCTCCTCACCTCTCAGATTTCATTCTCTGTGCCCTGCAAGCATCAACATCCAGACTAAGTTTTCCCTCCAGGTATGAGCTTGGCTTTCTCTCAGAGTAGTCTCATTTTCCTACCTAGATGCACACTTGCATTTCCTTAATCAAGAGCATGAACTTCCATTAAATAGGGGAGTCTGAATGACAAGTATTAGAATAATTTTTTTAACCTATCTCATTCAGTAGGCGCCTTACTTCCTTGCAGACTGGGCACCGCCTCCAGCCTACTCAAAAAGCTGTGCCCTTACTGACACCAGCATCTCATTTTTATCCTCATTTTCAGCTCCTTGTAGACAACAGAAAAAATAGCAACTTGTGCGGATCACATCTAAAACCACGTGCATAAGTTCAAAGATAATTAGCCTTTTAGTTGCTAAATGCTGTGCAAAGCACACATTTAACAGCTAAAACTGATTTTAATCTTTGCTTAATTCTTTTGCCAGAGAGTCCCATTCATAGTGAGGCAGCTGTCTAAATATCTTGGCCCCTTGGGGTGAGGAGACAGCGGAGCTTCTTGCAATTCTCGTGGGTGACCCCAGTTGGCTTCTTGAGAGCTGCTTCCAAATCAGTTGGGTCAGAGGATGCCTGTGTGGCTAGACCTCCAAAGAGATGATTTATCTGTGAAGTGCAAAAATTCTCTCTTTCCTCAGTTTGGGTAGTCAGTCTTGAAGTTGTAACAGAAATTTGGGTAGTGAGAGTGGTCAGATTAATAAGTAATGGCCATATTAGTGAGGAAGTACATGGATTTACACCCCATTGCCTTCGTGCTGGCCAGGCATGAAATCACCAGTCACTGCATCCTTTGCCCCATGTAACAGTGTCCCCCTTGAGTCAAAAAGGCCCTGAACAGCCAGAGGGCAACTGCAAACAGTGGGACAGTCACAGAACTCTTGTACCCAAAATGCAAGACTGATATGTTTTCTTTCATAACACCTATGAGTGCCTGCTTGTAATTATACTCCTCAAAAAAAAGTAAATAGAATATTTTTTTTAATCATCTCAAATTTCCTTCTGCAGAATATGAGTAGACATTAGTGCTTTCTACAGCTAGGCAGCGTACACACATCCACACAAAGGGATGACACAAGGATCCAACAACAAAAAGTTAATGAATCTGCTCTCTGCAACAGGCAGTACTCTACACTAAGGTTTATTTACCTCAGTGTCTTAATATTTTCCAGTATTTAGGGAACCAAGACAGTACTGTGTAATCAGATGATTACCCCTTCAAATGGGGTATGTAATGTACTATGATGGGAAGGAGCTGAACAAAGGAATGTGCCTATGTGTGCTGTGTGATGAGAAAATATGATTTGCTCCTTTTAAAAAAAAGCTGGTGCACTCCTCAATGGCAGACCAGGGCTGATTATATTTTTAGCATTAAAATGCCCTTTTTTTAAATTATTTTTCTATCTTTGCTTGACCAGTTTCTCTGTTATTGGCCCTCAGGTTCTAAAATATAGGGAGTGGCATAAAAATTGCATTATTTTCAATACGTTCCTGACACCTAATCAGGCAAGGCTCTCCATTACAATCACTTTCCTCTGTCAGACCCTTGGAGATCAAGGTCTTGTGTGAGGAACAGAGATGAGAACTGTGAAGCGTAGCTGGGAGAGGAGACAGATTGCAAGAGACATTTGGAAAGCTAACAGTCACCATAAGAGAAGATTTTTCCTTCAGGCATATGGTCAGCCAGTCTAAATTGCCAGTCAGTCCCTCTGCCAAATATTTCCCAGTGGGTGGCTCTCAGTGGCCCCCTACTCAGCACCATACTTTGGTCCCAGGTCTCCTCAGAGACATGGTGCCAACTGGGAAAACTAAGGGCTTAGGAGAAGTTCAAATGCCCTACAAATGGCAGGGAGTGTTATTTAGCTATCACTTACCTAGGCTGTACAGTTAGCCTATAGACTGCACAACATGTTGAAGTGGGAAAGCTCTAGGCAGAGCCATGAAAATTATCATGAAGAAATAGCTTTTTTTATTTTCTACCAGGCTCCCTATAAGCCCAGTATATGCAGGTCTAAAAGAGTGTTAATTCACACAAGAATGATAAAATATTGATCTTGAATAAACAACCAACAGGACTCAGAAATCACACCTAAGAAATTACAGAAAGACTTGTCTAGAAACTGGGATATAAAAAATAACAACAAATCCATTTGGGATCCTTCAGGCTTGCCTGCAAGCCTTACAGTCACCTTCATGAGTTCACACCCACACTACGATTATACAAGCCCTCTTCTATTCAAAATCAAACAAAACCCACAGTCTATCACAAAACAGGTAATAAAAACATGAGAGTGACTGCTATGCTCCCCAAATTGTGACTATTCCCAATTTGATATACCTTTTACCAGCTTGATCATCCAGGAAATTCTACCCTTTCCTTCTGGAGTGAGGTTGATGGTTGCTGAAGGCCTCCTACAGCTCACCAATGGGCTCAGCATTTGCAGGATACAGCTTCAGATCAATGTTCTCGGCTGGATGGATAAAAATACAAATAAATCAAACCACAACCAAAAAAAGCCTCTGGCAACCCAGAAGAAAGCTTATAGTCATTATATTCATCTACAGGATGTGAACTTTCCATGTCCTTACTGATTTCTCTTATTAAGCAATCATCAAGCACTGATAGGAACTTTTTGCAGGAAATGGGAGTACAATGTGTTTGTAAGAAAAACACCAATAGAGCAGGCAGCCAGTATAAGCCACTTGACATTTCAGGAAATTAAGTTATATTGTGGTCCCAGCTTATAAGTTCAGCAAGACCCATGAGAGAACTCTTTGGAGATCGGTTGTGCTTTTCCTTCAGTAGTGATGGGCACACTGGTTCATTGAGGGCAGTAGCCGTGTGTGCTCTGTCACAGCCGTCCTGCTGCCCTTCCTCTCTCCCGGCAGCTCCTACACTGCTCAGAGTCTGCATGCCCCAGCCAGCTTTGTCCTTTAGATGCTGAGCATGCTGTTCTGGGAGTGCAAAAAAAAAAAAAAAAAAAAAAAAAAAAAAAAAAGGACTTGGAAGGTCAAAAAAATCCAGTGAAAACAATAATAGAGTTTCAGAGAAAGCCTCAGACCTCTGTCAGACAGAGTTGAATGTATTTTTGAGATGCCAAGTTCAAAGCCCAAAGCATCTCACTCCTAGATGACAGATCACTTGGGGGTTGCAGGTATTACAAGTAAAAACTGGAGATCCAGGGTCAGGCACTGAAGTTCACAGGGGACAGATTTATAGGCTGTTTTTGTCTACATCATTGCCAAGAGGGCAGAAAATAGGAGGTTGAGCAACAGCAGTACATGGGCCAGCTGTGTGGGATGTGGAGAGACACTCATCCTGGAATGGAGGAAACAGCCACCAAGCTGGTGTTGTTCAGCCATATTCCTGGTGGAATTCCTGCTGATAGACATGGGGACAGAAGACAGTGAGCCACCTTGTAGAGATATATGTTCTTTTCCTGAGACTAGCTTGAAGTTGGCTGGGGAAGCTGTGGGCTGCCACCCATGGGCCTGTGTCCCAATAGCCTCTCACCTGCTAAGGTGGCAAGAGAAAGACAGCTATAGTAGACACACACATCCTTCCTTTGTGAGGAGGACAGAGAAGAGGGACATCTGGAAGCTGCTGGGGACTGTGTTCAGGCAGCCCCTTTCTCAGGGGAGTGCCACATATGCTCTGCTGGTTGAAATTTGCCTTAAGAGACCAAGGGCTGCACAGGTGCAAGCACAATTCCAGTCCCCAAGGCTCTTGGGGTCTCTGCACATTTTCACATCCAAAAAGCTTAGTGGGTCTTGGAAAGCTTGCAGGATTGCAGCCAGGACAACTACAATTCCCAGTCAAAGGTATCTCCAAGGTGTCACATAGGAAACTGCTTTCTCCTCCTGTTAATTTGGTGTGGGCTTAGGGTCTCTCAGCCCACTGAAGTGATCAGTGCTTGCAGTATGTGGCTTTGGACTGTTTTGGGAAGGGCAGCTGCCCCACTACTACCCTGTGTACACAGCTGGGCTAAGGGCAGCTTCCATATCCAGCTCAACCTTCAGCTCTGCTGTGTGACCTCAGGCATGCAGATAAAATGGAGCCCTGAGGAGATGTAAATCTCCTATTTGAAATCTCCTTCTATTTGAAATCACCCAGCTGAGCAAGAGAGGATCAAGAAGTAATCAGTGCCTCCCATTCCCAATCCTCCCCACACGGCCCTACTCCTAAAAGAGGAGCAGTCGGGGATTAATCAAACCCAGCACACTCTGCCCATTGAAGAGTTACAAGACTGTAAAACAACCCAGCTACAGACCAGCCTAATGAAGAAACAGAACCTTTTGTGGAAGAGCCATTGAGAATCCCATCATATTCTGACCCCAGTAGTGTCATTTGCACTGGGATCATATAGGGAACTGAGATTAGCTAAGTCAGTTAGAGCATGGTGCTAATAACACCAAGGTTGTGGGTTCAATCCCCATATGGCCCATTCACTTAAGAGTTGGACTTGATGACCCTTGTGGGTCCCTTCCAATTCAAAATATTCTGCAATTCTATGAAAATCATGTGAAGGTAAAATACTTAATTAAAACACTAATGCTGCAAGTATTCACCTCCACATAGGTGTGGAAACCTTCAAGTTTCCTTTTCATTATACGGATGAGATCCTGCTTTTCACTGGCACAATAGAAAATAGCCACAAAAATTCCACACACACAGCATCAGACCCCGCGACCAGCCTCAACACGCAGAGCGTCAGTAATAAAACACACCCCTGCAGGGATTTAGCACTTTGGCTTCTGCTCAGCTGGGGGACTTGGGCAGGACTTTCACTCTTCAGACTTAAAAAAATATTAATTATAATCAGCTCTGTCATTATTTCAACCCCCGCACTCCCCCTTCCCTGTTAGCAAATGGAAAAGGAGCTGTGTGCTGATGGGATTGTGGGTTGCATGAACAAGATGGGGCTCTGTGTGTGTGTGTACTGCTTTTGCCCTGGAAATCAAACAGCAGCTTTAGCAAGGGCATCCTGGGAAGGGCCCTCAGGTGCCAACAGAGAAATTCAGGGAAACATTCTTTTATTAAAACAATTACAACAGCTGCTGCAGGTACTTCCTTATGCACACATACAGGCACCCCTCCTTCCTGTCCATCGCACACATTCCCTCTGCCACAGACATTCTTGCACAAACAGATGACAAAGTAGTCTTCAACTTAAATCTGTGCAAGACCCACGGCCCTTCTCTTACCAACCTGCCATACCTCCCTGGTGCATTTGTTCTCCTCACCCCTGTCCTTCCCAATGAACATCCTGCCTTCTCCTATCCTCTCAGAAGAGTCTCTGAAGTGCACACTCAAGTGAGGTTTTGCACTGGCACCAAGAGAGGCATTGCAGCCAAGAGGGTTAGAGGCTAGAGAGTGCACAGGGTCTGAAATGACCAGATAAGGCAGAGATTTCTCAGGGATTCCTGAAATTATCTCCTTTCCTATAGAGTATCTTACTCCATTTGTAATTGTCTCTTTCCATGAATTGCAGTGGTGGTGTCCTGCAGCACTCACTGATCAGTGGTTAAGTGAGGGGTAATGCACCAAAGTTTGAGAATTAGCTCTTTGCCAAACACCTTTGTGCTCATTCATATGCATGGAAAAACAAAACATCCACCTCCCCATAAAAGTTCGTAAGGCTGCTTCCACAACACCTGGAAACTTTCTCCCCCAGGGTCCTGGTTAGACTAGTTGCAAGGTGCCATTCCTGATTTTCCACTACACCCTTCCATTGCACTGTCACATTCTCCTTCCAGCTCTACTCCACCCACATGTCTGAGCTATCCTGCTTTGGCCTTTCGTACAGTATTTAGCCTCGAAGCTTGACAGGGTCTCCTTGTTAGCTGCCTGTATAATCTACCAACACAGGGCTGTGATCCACATCTAAAGGCTTCAAGAGGGAAACTGCAAACCCATAACACCAAGGGCCATGCAACTATTCTGTCTCTCATTGGAAAGCCTGCAAAGGGGCAGGAAAATGCAGACACACTGGTGCATCTCCCTTCTCTTACACATACTCCTCTCCTTTACAGTTTACCTGCATTGCAAATGGAGTTTGGGAAGAGCATGGGACTCCAGGCAGGACCACTGAGCAGGCCAGGCCATCCCTGGATATGCTGCATGGAGCCATACCTCTACATTTCCCACAGCTGGCTGCAGGGCTTAATCTGTAAATTGATCCAAATGGACAATTACAAGAAATATTAGGCTCCAAGACATGATGGAGGGAAGACTACAGACACACAGCACTGGAGAGTGGTAGAAGACCCATAGCCTAAGACTGCTGCCTTCATTTTCACCTTCACTGTTGCTGCTGTTCACACTTTGACCTGGCCATGCACCCTGCCATGGTCAAACAGGTAGCAGATGCTGCTTTTCAGGTCTGTTAGCATAACATCTTTGCTCTGTGCAGGTGTTGGCAACCACACTTACCTACAAAGCAGGGCAAAATCCAGCCCAGCCTGGAGAGCACCACTCTAAGGTGATCACTGGAGGCTACATTTCACCTGGCAGGCACAACCCTGCAATGGGGCACTGTGGTGCTACAGCATATATGGCAAACACCATCTTGCTCAAGGAAGGCACTTACTTTCGTTATGCTCTGTAGCTGGTCAATCCATGATAATGGTTTGCTCCTGCTCCTACCAACTCTTTGTTTATTTTGGGAACAATAGGAGAAGCAACACACGTCATGCTCCAGGCAATTTCCATTTGCCTTAGGGCAGGATGACCTCTCTCCACACAGATACCAGCAGGCTCTAATACCAGAAACAGAAGGACATTCTGATCAAGACCCAGGCTGATTAGCAAGAAATTTGGATTTCAAGCACTTTCTAGTTAGACTTGCTTGGGACAAACAATTGCAACTTGCTATGTCTCAACTTCTTCATATGGAAATTGGAGGGATATAAGAAGCTCCAAAAAATCTAAAAGGGACAAGGGCTAAATGTCTGTTAATAAACTCCCCACTTGCCTCAACAGCATCTGTCCAAATGCAACAGATATCCAGCTAGCCTTGGTAAAAAAGAGGTCAGTAAGCAGACAGAAAGTTCTCCCAGAAACATGACATCTAGATGGGAAAAGCATTAATGACTGAGAAATGCTTCTGTAGGGGCAGAAAATTGGATGAAGCGGTGAAAGATGTAGCTCAGCAGCTCAGCCCATTGCCCAAAATAACCAGGTGGTGGCATGTGGGATCCTCCCCCACCAAGCCCACCAGCAAATGCACCAGCAATCCCAGCGTGCGTTCACCCTGTCATCAGCTTTGCTGGGCATTAGTGGTGGACAGCACCCCACCCTGAGAAAACATGGGGCATTCTTGGCACTTCACACTGCAGGCAAGGTCATCAGACACGATGACAAATTCTTTGCCTGCCATATCCACAGAGGTATGTAAGGGAATATGATCCTGCCCTAAGCAAGTGCCAAGTTTGATTAGAGCTGATCAGTCCAAGATCCTTCCTGTGAGGA